ACGGGTGCCGGGAAGTCAAATCCTGGGCTGCTGTGGAAGAGTAGAGCTTTTTTTGTTTCCGCTGGGGATGACAGTTGCAAGTATAATTTGCCCCGGTAGGAGAAGATGACTCCGTTGAGGAATAAATTTGTTGGAGAGATTACTCTGCGGGGAACTACTCTGTGGGGAAGAGATGCTTCGCTGAGGTTTGATGATAACTTCGCTGGGGATACTGTTGATATGTTTTGTTGAGGAATTTGATGAACTCCGCTGGGGAATAGGAAGAACTTCGCTGAGGACGATCTTTTTGTGGTTTTTAGCTGAGGATAACCCAGTTATAAGCTCTGGTGAGGGAATAACCTTTGAATAATGCTGGGAGGACGCGTTCGTACTCTGTAGGTGATAAGCTTCCAGAATCTACTGGGGATAAGCTTCCTACTGGGGAGGTGGATTCAACTCTCCTGGGGAGACTGTTGGACTGTACTGAGGGGTGGCTCCACTGGGAGTGTCTGGTATTCCGCCGGGGAACAATCTTATATCAAGACTGCCGGGGATGCTTGTTAGGAATGTCTGTATACTCCGCTGGGGAATATTGAGATCTCTGGGGAAAACCCAACTTCCTTAAGGTTGATAGTAGCTTAACTCTGCTTGGGGAGAGTATTGCTGACTTGCTGGAGATATTGTGCCTTGTCAGGACTGATGGGAGACCCACTGCTTGGGGAGAATTGTTGACTCTTGTCTTGCTCGACGGGGAGTGAAGGTATCTAGGTTACATTCTTCAGCCGAACCTACCTTGGTACCTTGGGGGACAGAGCAATTAGATTGCTTAGACAACTCATTATTGCCCCTGTTTCTGATGTTACCTGTAATTAATCCTTTGTTTCGTATGCAAATATTTATGAGTTAGCAATTAGTGTCAAATGCATATATCACAATTGAACATTGGACGTTATTTGCAAAACAAAACGGAAAAAGGAAAAACAATTGGCAATTGGTCTGAAAAGTGAATTTGTATTGATTTTTGAATTTGCCTGTAAATAGGCGTTTATGTACAAGAGGCTGACGTCCTAGTAAGAGAACGCCGCCGAACAACAGAGTTTATACAATTTGTACAAAGAAAACAAAACAGCTGTGTGAAAAGAATAATCCCACTGGGTCCCAACTCTGCTATCGCCTTTATATCTTCGAGCGTCTCATCAGTTGGCTGCTCAGTTGAAGGTGAAGCTGACTGATCAATGCCGTCTGAACCTGATGATTGATACCGGATTCTGGATGCAAGGTGACCCAACGAGACATAGTATTACGCTTATCCCTAACTTTTGCCTGGACCGCCCTTTCGGGTTTTCAGTCCACCGAGATACCCATTTTTGCCCAAGCCGCCTTTTCAGGTTTTCGACTTGCCGGGTGTACAGATTTTTTCATTTCATCCCTTATTTTTGCCCGAACCCTTTTGGTTCGCCGGGAAGCCCTAATTTTTGCCTAGGTATGTCAACCTAGCGGGTCTTTTATCATGCATAGTATCTTTTTACTATGTCTGCATTGGCAGGGTGAGGAAGGTCGTCACCATCCATGGTGGTTAGAATCATGGCTCCTCCTGAGAAGACATGTTTAACCATAAATGGCCCTTCGTAGGTGGGGGTCCATTTGCCCCTGGGATCACTTTGAGGAAGAATGATGCGTTTGATTACCAGGTCCCCAACTTGATACTCTTGTGGTCTGACTTTCTTTTTAAATACCCTGATCATTTGTTTTTGGTATGTTTGACCATGGCATATAGCAGTAAGTCTCTTTTCGTCAATTAGGTTTAATTGATCAAGTCGAGTCTGGATCCAGTCATCTTCGCTCAAGCCTGCATCCTTCATTATCCGGAGAGAGGGTATCTGGACTTCAACAGGCAAGACTGCCTCCATGCCATAGACCAAGGAAAAGGGAGTTGCCCCAGTTGACGTTCTTGCTGAGGTACGATACCCATGAAGAGCAAACGGTAACATCTCGTGCCAATCTTTGTAGGTCACTGTCATCTTCTGCACAATCTTTTTGATATTCTTATTTGCTGCTTCTACAGCCCCATTCATCTTCGGCCAGTAAGGAGAAGAGTTGTGGTGCTATATCTTGAATTGCTCGCAGAGCTCAGTGATCATCTTGTTGTTAAGATTGGTACCATTGTCCGTAATGATCCTTTCCGGGACACCGTAGCGACAGATCAGGTTATGCCGAATGAACCGTGCCACGGCGTTCTTGGTTACCGTAGCGTAGGAAGCTGCTTCAACCCACTTTGTGAAGTAATCAATCGCTACAAGGATGAAGCGATGCCCGTTGGATGCCGTAGGTTTAATCTCGCCGATCATATAAATGGCCCACATTGCAAAAGGCCAAGGTGCAGTCAAGACATTCAGAGGGACTGGAGGAACGTGCACCTTATCTGCATAAATCTGGCATTTATGACACGTCCGAGAATGTTGGTAACAGTCAGCTTCCATTGTGGACCAGAAATATCCTGCCCGAAGGATTTTCTTTGCCATGGTATGTCCACTGGAATGTGTTCCGAAGGTACCTTCATGTAGCTCTGCCATGATTCTTTCTGCTTCAGTCTTATCCACACAACTCAGTAAGGTTGAATCATGGTTTCGCTTGTATAGACTGCCATTGCTGAGGAAGAATTTTGCAGCGAACCTTCTCAGAAACTTCTTGTCATTGATGGATGCACCTTCAGGGTATTCTTGAGCTTCCAAGTACCTCTTTACCTCATGATACCAAGGTTTCTCAGTTACCTCTTCAGCCTCAAGATCACAGCAATATGCAGGTTCGTCCAGTTTCCAGATAATGATTCGGGGAGCCTCGTTATCCCATTTGACTTTGAATATAGAAGACATCGTAGCCAACGCGCACTAGTGCAGAAATGACTTTTTACATCGGGTGAAATTGACTTTTTACATCGGTTTTGGGTCCGATATAAAGTCAGGCGATATAGTAAATCAGGGACTTTTTACATCGGTTCTGGGACCGATGTAAAAAGTCCCTTTTTTACATCGGTTATAATATCAGAACTGATGTAATAACCTGTTATTATACACATTTTTTAAAAAATTGATCCAGTTTTTTACATCGGTTGGAAGTAATACCCGATGTAAAAAGTCCATTTTTTACATCGGTTATAATATATGAACCGATGTAAGAAACAATTATTATGCACATTTTTTAAAAAAATTGATCCAGTTTTTTACATCGGTTGGAAGTAATACTCGATGTAAAAAGTCCCCAGTGACGCGACTTTTTACATCAGTTATTATCCCCAACCGATGTAAAAAGTCCCTTTTTGAAAGTTTTCACATCAGTTTTGAGTAATAACCGATGTAAAATGTATGAAATTTTTTTGGAATAGATTATTTATTTTCTGGGTTTCCCTATACAAATATAATTTGTACCCATTTTTTCATATTTTTCCAATATCAAACAGACTATATTTATGTCGCTATATAGATTTCATAGCTTTCCAACATCACATATATCACATTTAGGTCGATGTTCACATATTTTTCACAACAAACTTACAAATTGAACAATTGTATTGCAAACTTGTATTATATTACAACAAACAAACTTACAATTATAAATTCTTCACAAAATATAAAACAATATTCAACTATTTATAAGTCTTTTTCAAAACTTACAATTACATAATATTCACAAAATATACATATACAAAATATTCAACTATTTCTAAGTTTCCAAACTTGAATTACCAATATAAAATCTTCGGTAGACAACACCAAAATCATATTGCCTGACAATAAATAATAGCAATTAACATCAGCAAAAGAAATTAAGAAACTCAACACATGAGAAAAAACCACATGTATTGTGCAAAAACCACAACTTATACAATTCTTTTGTCATAGGTTTCTAAATTTTCCACTTCTTTTATTTGGTGAGCATAAAAATAGGAGAAAGGGATTCAAATATAATAGTATAATAATAGTAACAAGAATGGAACAAAGTATAAAACACACGAGTAACAAAGTGTAATTTATAATAGTATAGTAATAGTAATGAGACTGTAACAACGAATTGATAAGCAAAATTTGGCAAAACATTGGTTTTAAACCAAATATCGTTGAACAACTATTTGGTAACATAATTAGAATATTAATTATTTATAAAAATTTAGATACTCCCTTCCACTATTTCTCTCTTTTCAATCTCTTCTTACAATCTAACATACTTTAAATATAAACTCAAAGAGGAATAATGCTAATCACTCATTTTCAAACAAAAATTTGCACTTACAGTTGAAACGGCGAGCGAAGAGTCGTGAAGGGCGTGAATCGGCCGGCGAGGAGTCGTGAAACGGAGATTCCGAGATTCCGAGATTGCAAGTTGTCACTATAGTTTTTCCAAGTCTTCCTTTATATTTAGCTGTTGGACTCACAATGCAAATGGAAATTGAAATTGTTATAGCAACATGCAAAAGTAAGACAATTGCCATGGAGAGTCAGTAAGAAACAAGGCCAAACAATGCAAAGGCCAAACAATTTGACACAAAAACATGTATAGCTACGATATATTTGCGTTGTGAGTAAAACAAAATTGCATACATACAGTTGAATTTCTTTTTGGCTATAGTTCCATTGTTGAGAGAGTATAAAAAGTTCCTCACAGCTTCAGCATTGAACCGAGCACTATACTGCAAATAAAAACAAATCGCATTAAAACCCTTACTAACCCACGAAAAATCCAACAAAACAAATTAACAAAATAAAAAACATAACCAGAACAACAACAACATAGTACTTAGAGTTTTTTCGATCAGAACAATCAACAAAATTGGCAGGAGCTTTTATTTGGTGAGCATAAAAATAGGAGAAAGTATAATAGTATAATAATAGTATAATAATAGTAACAAGAATGGAACAAAAATTTGCACTTACAGTTGAAACGGCGAGCGAAGAGTCGTGAAGGGCGTGAATCGGCCGGCGAGGAGTCGTGAAGGGCAATCGGCGGAGAGGAGTCGTGAAACGGAGATGGTGAAGTCGTTCACGGCATTACTAGCATCGGTGGGCAGCGGTGGCGTCGTGGTGGGCAGCGGTGGGCGTCGCGGCGACGGTGAGTCGTTGATGGTGTTGGAGTCGTTGACGGTGTTGGCGGCGACGGTGAGTGGTTGACGATGTTGGCAGCGGTGGGCGTCGCGGAGAAAATGGGTCGAAGAAATGGGTCATAAAATGGAGGAGCTGTACAGTGATATTCAATCGAGACCAAATCCGGGTCACACAATAGCTCAAAAATGTCACTAAAAATCACCTCAGAATTAGAAACTGACACCTTCGAAACTAACCCGAAACCGCTCAAATTATATGAAATTGAGACTTAAAATTCAACCACAAATTAACTTTCCAATTATCACAAACATGCTATGTTAATCACCTTGTCATTAATTCATTCAAACCAATTGCAATACATGAAGAAGAACAAGTAATGTCATCTCTAAACCAAGTTCATAGCACCAATTTCACCATTGATTTAATCACAACTCCAACCAAACAATTTCCACCAATAATGTCAATACAAACCTTCTTCGAATTATAACAATGTCATCAAACAATTCCTCAAGTAAGCAACAATATTATCCAACTTCAACATTAATCTCAATCATTGTCAACAAAACAAATGCAAACACAACTAATTTTTTAACAATGTCCTCACTATCCTCCAACCACAAAACTCACATTATCACTACCAACCTTCAATATATCATCACTAGCTCAACCATTCAAAATTGACACAAATCAATAACAATATCCATCACTTATTTCTTCAATCATTCAACAACAACTTCTACAATTTATCAACAATAATGCCATTATCTTTATCATTCCAATTCCAACAATTTAGAACAACAACACCAATGTCATCATTATTAAGCAACCCACAACAAGAGCTACATCATCAACAAATAGAACCACAACAAATGGTAGTGAAGAATGCTTACCAAGCAATGAGGAAGGAGGAGTTACTTATGGTGTTGGTCGGTGGTAGCTGTGGGTTGTAGCTCCCGTTGGTGGTGGTGAAGTTACAGAGGGAGTACCCGTATCTGATGATGGCAGTAAGCGGCGGGAGTATCTCGGAAGCAGGTGGGAGTGTTTATTCGGTTCGATGAGTTCGGCGGAGGTACGTAGACGGAGGGTGAGTGTTGGTGGTTACGCGAAACAGAAGGCGTGTGGATGTTGCGGTCGGTTGAGAGAAGAGGAAGATGAGTGGTGGTGACCGGGAGAAATCCGAGCAGATGAAGGGAGTAGGCTGGAAGGAGTAGCGCTCAAGAGATGAAGATGATAGCTACTGTGCCTTCTTATTTGAATCGTAGATCTGAATACCTTTTCTATATGAATGGACTCCTTTGTTTCTCACTTGTTACTGTAGCCTTACAATAACAATTTAATATATAATATCAACTTAGGTTAAGAAATTTATTTAATGTCTAAACCGATGTAATATTTTTTTTTTACACGCGTTTTTTATGATTTTTTAATATATTTTATATATTAATTCAAGCGACCATTTTTTACATCGGTTTTTAGTTAAACCGATGTAATAGCTTGCTTATATTTTTTTAACGTTTTTGTCACCTTGTTTCTTATTTACAAAAATGCCACCGTGTTTTTTTTCTGGAAATCTTTTACATCTGTGGATGAGATTGCCCGATGTAATAGGTGACGAACAAAAATTTTTCCCTTATTTTTTATATCATTGCAAATAAATACCTGATGTAAAAAGTTTGTTAACTGTATTTTTTACATCACATATTTTGATACCCGATGTAAAAACTTTTTCTCAAATGTCTTTTTTTTAGTAGTGGCGTCCGCCAACTGATTCTCCTCTCTTGGGAAGTGTTCAAAAGTTATCTCTGTGAAATGGGGGATCAATGTCAACACACACTCTTTGTAAGGAATAAGGTTTGGGTGTTTCGTATCCCACTCGCCTTTGATCTGATTGATCACGAGAGCGGAATCTCCGAAGACACTCAGAAACTGGATCCTTAAGTCAATCGCAGCTTAAAGACCCATGATCCATGCCTCATACTCCGCCATGTTGTTGGTGCAGTTAAAACATAGCCGGGCAGTGAGTGGCGTATGAGTGCCTTTTGGGGATATGATCACAGCGCCGATACCGTTACCCAAAGCGTTGGAGGCTCCGTCAAAGTGCATAGACCATCGGGATCCTTCCTCAGGTCCTTCATCTAGTCCAGGTACTTCACAATCAGTCACTACCATGATGCTCTCGTCTGGAAACTCAAAGTTCATTGACTGGTAGTCGTCTACTGCTTGGTGTGCCAAATGGTCTGCCAGTACACTTCCCTTGATTGCTTTCTGAGTTGTGTACTGGATGTCGTATTCTGTCAAGATCATCTGCCATCTTGCTATTCTTCTAGACAGAGCAGGCTTTTCGAATATGTACTTTATTGGATCCATTTTTGAAATCAACAGAGTAGTGTGAGTCAACATATACTGTCTCAGCCGGCGAGCAGCCCATACCAAAGCGCAACAAGTTTTCTCGAGCAGTGAGTATCGGGTCTCACAGTCGGTAAACTTTTTGCTAAGGTAATAAATGGCGTGCTCTTTTTGGCCAGACTCGTCATGCTGCCCCAGTACACACCCCATTGAGCTGTCAAGTACTGTCAAGTATAGTATTAGAGGTCTCCCTTCAACCGGTGGCATAAGAATGGGTGGTTCTTGGAGATACTCTTTGATTCTGTCGAAAGCGGCCTTACATTCATCATTCCAACGTACTACTTGATCTTTCTTCAGCAGCTTGAAGATTGGTTCACAGGTAGCAGTTAGGTGCGAGATGAATCGAGCAATGTAATTCAGACGTCCTAGAAAGCCTCTGACTTCTTTCTCTGTCTTGGGAACTGGCATCTCTTGTATGGCTTTAACCTTGGCAGGGTCCACTTGAATACCTTTGTCGCTCACGACGAAGCCTAGCAACTTCCCAGATCTTACCCCGAAGGTGCACTTGTTCGGGTTCAACCTCAGCTTGTACAACTTCAACCGGTCAAACAGCTTCTGTAAATGGTCAAGGTGTTCCTCCTTAGTTTGAGACCTTGCAATCATATCATCGACGTATACTTCAATCTCATGATGGATCATGTGATGAAATAAAGCAACCATGGCACGTTGGTAGGTTGCCCCAGCATTTTTCAACCCAAATGGCATGACCTTGTAGCAAAAGGTGCCCCACTGAGTAACAAAAGTGGTCTTCTCCATATCTTCAGGAGCCATTTTGATTTGATTATAACCGGAGAAACCGTCCATGAAGGAGAACACCTTATGCTGAGCAGTGTTGTCAACCAGAACATCGATGTGAGGTAGAGGGAAATCATCTTTGGGGCTTGCCCTGTTCAAATCCCTGTAGTCAACACACATTCGGACCTTACCATCTTTTTTTGGTACCGAAACCACATTGGCAACCCACTGAGGGTAAGAAGTCACTGCTAGAAACCCGACATCAAATTGCTTCATAACCTCAGCCTTGATTTTCTCGGACATCTCTGGACGCATACGGCGGACCTTCTGTTTTACTGGCAGGAAGTCTTCCTTGGTAGGTAGGTGATGAACCACAATGTCGGTATCCAACCCAGGCATGTCTTCGTAAGACCAGGCAAAGATTTCCACATAGTCACGCAGCATCTGGATCAACCGTTGCTTCACACTGAGCTCCAGATTAGCACCAATCTTGACTTCCTTCCTGTCTGTCTCAGTACCCAGATTTACCGTTTCCACTGGCTCTTCATGTGGTTGAATGGCCCTCTCTTCCTGGAGTAGTAGTCTTGCAAGCTCACCGGGTACTTCACAATCATCTTCACCTTCGTCTTCGGCTAAGTTGATCGGATTTTCGAAGTCATAGCTGGCAGTAGCAGAGTCGTTACCAGTGAGATCCAGAGTGGATTGGAACCTGTATGAGTGAGTGTGTGTAAATACAGCTGTTTTGCAATATATATAAAGAAAGGGAGCGCAAGATTTGAAATGTGAAAAACGTCCAATGCTTTTATTCATGATATATGGAAGTGACAAACAAAAGCCCTCACAAATAAAACCACGGTGCCCCGAGTAAGACACCGGGCCATAGAGTTTAAGATTATTGTTCGTTACAACTTTAAAACAAAAGAGTTCATTACTGCGTGACAAAAGTAATATGTATAAAGTCCTTTGCAGTCCAGTTGCTAGGTCCACCGTTGGTCGTTGGGTAGATCCAGCTGTCAAATTCAGATTCGTCCACTTCGTCTTCATCCCCGATAGCATTGACTCCTGGATTGGTGATGAGCACAGGAGGTCTTCCAATGCTTGCCTTGCGCACAGCCTTCTGAGCTTCTGCAGTGAAACCCAAGCCAAATTTGTCTGTCTTTGGAGTAAAAAATCAGGAAGCCTGCCCTAGTTTGTGCACTCACCCTTCTCGATCACTGCCCGGGCGTCCTTTAAGGAGGCCATCTTCAAAGGAGAACCCTCTTCAGTCACTGTTTCTGCTGCTGCCAATGTTTGTGGCACCTCTTCAAAATGTTGAAAGGGGGTCTCAATGAACTCCCCGTCCATTTCCACGTACCTGAAGGAGTTGAGGTGGCTGACCATGTATTCCTCTTCCCCTTGCACTGTTACAATCTTCCTCCTGACCGGGTATTTGAGCTTCTGATGTAAAGTTGAAGTCACAGCTCCAGCCTTGTGGATCCACGGGCGACCCAGCAAACAAGAATAGGATAGACGGATGTCCATCACATAGAATTTTGAATCAAATACCTGCGAACCAACCCTGATCGGGATGTCAACCTCACCATGTACCATCCTTTTGGACCCGTCAAAGGCCCGAACAACAATGTTACTTGGTTTGAGCTCTAACCCTTCACAGTCCAGCCTGTCTAGAGCCTTCTTGGGTAGTACGTTCAGTGAAGAACCTGTGTCAACCAGCACGTGAGCAAGAGTAGTGCCCCTGCATTCAATGGAGACATGCAGGGCATCATTATGGTTCTTCCCCTTGGCCGTCAGATCAGCATCAGAGAAACCTAGAACATTATCAGCGGTTAAGTTGGCCACACAGTCGGTGAATTGATCAGCAGACGTTTCTTAGGGCACGTGGGCCGTCTTCAGGAAGGCAATCAGGGCCTTGGCATGGGCCTATGAACATAGCAACAGTGATAGCATGGAGATTTTAGAGGGGGTGTTCCCCAGCTGTTCAACGACGTTGAAATCACTCTTTTTTATAATTTTGAGGATCTCTTCCATCTCTTGCTTGGAAGCCTCAACAATGGTCTTTGGTGCCTCCGTCCGGGCAGGCACATCAACAGCAATCCCCTTGCCCCGAGCGTCAGATGACTCGGCAGCAGGGGTAGAAACTTGATCAGGGGGGGAAACAGGCACACTGGCAGGTGTGATGACAAGGGGCCTTTGAATTGCTGGAGGAGCAATGTCTGGTGAGAACAGTCTTCCACTTTGAGTGACCTTAGCAGGCCCGGTGATGTTGGTGACACTGGTACTAGCATTGAACTCTTGTTTCACTCCCAGAACATAAACATCTGCCCCATAGTGCCACGGGACAGCTTTATCAGACTTGTAGGGGATGGGCCCCAGAACAGTAATGGTTACAGGAGCAATCTTATGAATAGGCAAAATTTTGATAGGCTTCTTTGAAGGAGCCTTGGAAGGGTTGTTGAAAATGGTAACAATTGAAACTTCTTCAACAGGGGCAGCAGGAACGACAATCTTCTTGAACAAGATCTCTTTACTATCCATCAGGTTTTGGACGCCTGATTTCAGCAAAGAACAACCAGCAGGGGAATCAGCACATAAAGGGCAACCTTTGCTACATCCCAGAAATAAAATGGCTAGCAACAGGTTCCTCTTGACGGTCAGCAGCGGAGTAGCAACATCATCCACAGAAGCTACATACAAATCCTCCTCAACAGCGTTCACTCCATGCTGGGGCATGGGAGCTGTCACAACATTTGGCCTTTCGGGCGCCTCGAATTGTATTTCCTTGGCATCAATAAGGTCCTGAACCTTATTCCTCAGGGCCCAACAATCATCAGTAGAATGTCCCGGGCTATCAGAGTGATACACGCAACGGGCGTTGGGGTTGTACTTCGGAGATGCTGTGTTTACCATCTTCAGAGCTTCCTTGACTGTTACCAGGCTGGTTGACAGTAGTTGCGGCAGGATCTGAGAGAGAGTCATGCTGAGCCGAGTATACTGCCTTTTGGGCCTCTCAGCTCTGGGCTGGTT